CGTTTGAAGGCTTGCCAATATTTCACGCTATAATTTGTGTAGTGCATTTGACATTTTTACACAAAAGCATGTTGAATAAAGTTAAATAATTACATTTTAATTAATGGTCGGATTTTGCCCCCCCCCCCCCCACACACACACAACAACAACAACAACAACACCCCCCATCCCCGAAACCATTGCAAAGTTGGGCCGTACCGTAGTTCCGCCACATTTATTCCTTCACATATAGACGTGATTCAAGTTTACTTCCTTCAAGGGAAGCCACTCCGATGTATTAATGTGTAGCGATATTTCGAGTGCTTCGCTTTTACAACTCAATGAAGGGGAAGGGAGTTAACTCTATAATATGTACGAAGGGATGTCACTTGAGAATTTAGCTCCAGGCTACACGAGTTGTTACTGTCGCACCTGCGCGTTGGGAAAATGTGAACAGTTGGGGGTGGGGGGGGGAATTGCTTACTAGTGTAGTAGTACACTACAATCATGGGATTTGGGGGCGATTGTTTAATGGTGTAGTAGTACACTACAATCATGGGATTTGGGGGCGATTGTTTACTGGTGTAGTAGTACACTACAATCATGGGATTTGGGGGCGATTGTTTACTGGTGTAGTAGTACACTACAATCATGGGATTTGGATTCAATTGTTTACGGGTGTAGTAGAACACTACAATCTTGGCATTTGGGGGCGATCGTTTACTGGTATAGTAGTACTACCAAATGGACCGCGACGGTTGTACTGTGATGACGTCCACGAACCGTGACGGTTGTAGTGGGTTAGTTAAGACCTCTTGTCGTGGCTCTTGTAGTAGACAGGAGCCACTTGATGGCTCTATTCTGTTTGTAAAGAGCCGTTTGTGTCGGTCGACAGTTAAGTATTTACCTACTTATCGACCAGGTAAAGTTTTAACAGCAATTTATCTGTGTTCGAATTAGCAAAGATCAATAAAGAAATAAAGAAAAACTAGAAATGGTTTGATGCACTTGAAGCTTTCTATTTAAGCTTGAAATTTTCTATGCGTATATTTTAAAAAATACGTTTCGCCTTTTTTTTTTTAAATCATGTAACTCCTCTAAGTATAATATTTAAAAAAAAAAACTGCTGTATCTGTAACCGTTAATACTTTTAACTGTCGGGTTACTTATAACGATTGCAAACACAAAAAGCACAGAAAACACGGAAAATAAATAGGAGAAGAATCCTCTGAAAAATATTTGCACTGATACAAATTGAGAACGGATACGAACAAAAATCAATCATTAGATCTAGATCTACATGCAATATTGAAAGACCCTAGCGTCAGAAAATAAGACGACTGCTAGTTTTGGTCATTTTTTTTTAAGTACACCATATCAAGTTAGTGAAAGTTGTGTATAATCAAAGCTTAAAGAGAAACGACGATAACGTAGGACGAGGTTCAGAGTGGTGGATGATGTGGTGGATGATGTGGAGACCAGCCCTACAGCAGCACGAAGTTCAGAAATGGAAGAAAACCACAGCGCAAAAACCACTTATTTAGGCTCCAGGGGTGAAAGGATGTTTACCATTGACCCTTCATGACCTTAATCCTTTCATTGACTCACACCTTCCGTTCACCCTCAACCCTCCATAACCTTAACCCGTTAATGCTTCAAAAATGTAGTTAAAGCTTACCCTTCATAGTTTTAACCCTCCAAAGCCTCAAACTTTCATCTACCCCCCCCCCCCAACGACCTTAGCCCCCAACGCCCAAACTTTCCTCATCTACACCCCCCCCCCAACGACCTTTACCCTCCAAAGCCTCAAACTTTCATCTCCCCCCCCCCCCCAACGACCTTAACCCTTCAACGCCCAAACTTTCATCTACCCCCCCCCCAACGACCTTAACCCTTCAACGCCCAAACTTTCATCTACCCCTCCCACGACCTTAACCCTTCAACGCCCAAACTTTCATCTACCCCTCCCCCCACCTTAACCCTTCAACGCCCAAACTTTCATCTACCCCTCCCCCCACCTTAACCCTTCAACGCCCAAACTTTCATCTACCCCTCCCTATCCCCCCCTCCCCACCCCACGATCTTAACCCTCCAAAGCCTCAAACTTTCATCTACCCCCCCCCCCCCCCCCACCCCACGATCTTAACCCTCCAAAGCCTCAAACTTTCATCTACCCCTCCCACGACCTTAACCCTTCAACGCCCAAACTTTCATCTACCCCTCCCCCCACCTTAACCCTTCAACGCCCAAACTTTCATCTACCCCTCCCCCCACCTTAACCCTTCAACGCCCAAACTTTCATCTACCCCTCCCCCCACCTTAACCCTTCAACGCCCAAACTTTCATCTACCCCTCCCTATCCCCCCCTCCCCCACCCCACGATCTTAACCCTCCAAAGCCTCAAACTTTCATCTACCCCCCCCCCACCCCACGATCTTAACCCTCCAAAGCCTCAAACTTTCATCTACCCCCCCCCCCACCCCACGATCTTAACCCTCCAAAGCCTCAAACTTTCATCTACCCCCCCCCCCCACCCCACGATCTTAACCCTCCAAAGCCTCAAACTTTCATCTACCCCCCCCCCCACCCCACGATCTTAACCCTCCAAAGCCTCAAACTTTCATCTACCCCCCCCCCCCCCCCACCCCACGATCTTAACCCTCCAAAGCCTCAAACTTTCATCTACCCCCCCACCCCACGATCTTAACCCTCCAAAGCCTCAAACTTTCATCTACCCCCCCCCCCCCACCCCACGATCTTAACCCTCCAAAGCCTCAAACTTTCATCTACCCCCCCCCCCCCACCCCACGATCTTAACCCTCCAAAGCCTCAAACTTTCATCTACCCCCCCCCCCCACCCCACGATCTTAACCCTCCAAAGCCTCAAACTTTCATCTACCCCCCCCCCCCCCCCATGACCTTTAACCCTCCAAAGCCTCAAACTTTCATCTACCCCCCCCCCCCCACCCCACGATCTTAACCCTCCAAAGCCTCAAACTTTCATCTACCCCCCCCCCACCCCACGATCTTAACCCTCCAAAGCCTCAAACTTTCATCTACCCCCCCCCCCCACCCCACGATCTTAACCCTCCAAAGCCTCAAACTTTCATCTACCCCCCCCCCACCCCACGATCTTAACCCTCCAAAGCCTCAAACTTTCATCTACCCCCCCCCCCCCCCCCACCCCACGATCTTAACCCTCCAAAGCCTCAAACTTTCATCTACCCCCCCCACCCCACGATCTTAACTCTCCAAAGCCTCAAACTTTCATCTACCCCCCCCCCCCCACCCCACGATCTTAACCCTCCAAAGCCTCAAACTTTCATCTACCCCACCCCCCCCCCACCCCACGATCTTAACCCTCCAAAGCCTCAAACTTTCATCTACCCCCCCCCCCACCCCACGATCTTAACCCTCCAAAGCCTCAAACTTTCATCTACCCCCCCCCCACCCCACGATCTTAACCCTCCAAAGCCTCAAACTTTCATCTACCCCCCCCCCCCCCCCACCCCACGATCTTAACCCTCCAAAGCCTCAAACTTTCATCTACCCCCCCACCTCACGATCTTAACCCTCCAAAGCCTCAAACTTTCATCTACCCCCCCCCCCCCACCCCACGATCTTAACCCTCCAAAGCCTCAAACTTTCATCTACCCCCCCCCCCCCACCCCACGATCTTAACCCTCCAAAGCCTCAAACTTTCATCTACCCCCCCCCCCACCCCACGATCTTAACCCTCCAAAGCCTCAAACTTTCATCTACCCCCCCCCCACCCCACGATCTTAACCCTCCAAAGCCTCAAACTTTCATCTACCCCCCCCCCCCACCCCACGATCTTAACCCTCCAAAGCCTCAAACTTTCATCTACCCCCCCCCCCCCCCCACCCCACGATCTTAACCCTCCAAAGCCTCAAACTTTCATCTACCCCCCCCCCCCCACCCCACGATCTTAACCCTCCAAAGCCTCAAACTTTCATCTACCCCCCCCCCCACCCCACGATCTTAACCCTCCAAAGCCTCAAACTTTCATCTACCCCCCCCCCACCCCACGATCTTAACCCTCCAAAGCCTCAAACTTTCATCTACCCCCCCCCCCCCACCCCACGATCTTAACCCTCCAAAGCCTCAAACTTTCATCTACCCCCCCCCACCCCACGATCTTAACCCTCCAAAGCCTCAAACTTTCATCTACCCCCCCCCCACCCCACGATCTTAACCCTCCAAAGCCTCAAACTTTCATCTACCCCCCCCCCACCCCACGATCTTAACCCTCCAAAGCCTCAAACTTTCATCTACCCCCCCCCCCCCACCCCACGATCTTAACCCTCCAAAGCCTCAAACTTTCATCTACCCCCCCCCACCCCACGATCTTAACCCTCCAAAGCCTCAAACTTTCATCTACCCCCCCCCCCCCCCACCCCACGATCTTAACCCTCCAAAGCCTCAAACTTTCATCTACCCCCCCCCCCCCCCCACCCCACGATCTTAACCCTCCAAAGCCTCAAACTTTCATCTACCCCCCCCCCCCCCCACCCCACGATCTTAACCCTCCAAAGCCTCAAACTTTCATCTACCCCCCCCCCCCCCACCCCACGATCTTAACCCTCCAAAGCCTCAAACTTTCATCTACCCCCCCATGACCTTTAACCCTCCAACGCCCAAACGTGCCGTCTCTAAGAAACCTACCATCCACCAGACACACTAAGCACTCCGCCGTCCTGCTGTGATTAACAAAGTTAATCTCCTAATCCCAAACTCAATCCTTCTTAATCCGCCCCCTAAACCTCCTTGTAATAAAACCCAACCTTCAACTTGTATTCTCTCATACAGTAGATTTATTACCCCCCCCCCCTTCCCAACCCTCTACCTGCATCGCAAAGGTACCGTGACATCGTTGCCTAGCAACCGTGTTGACAAACAGCATTGTCTGCACCGATTAAACCAAGCCTTGACAAAATGACGTGAGGGGTCGTCGTGCTCTCTTGTCTGACCAGTCAGCCGTTTCCAGAGTTCTGCTCCTATAAATAGCGACACGCTCTCGTCTCGAGGTTTTCTAATTACTGATTAGTGTCAGCCGATTTTAACTAATTGAACAGTGTGGCCGAGTGTCGCTTGACAGGAAATAAAAATGTGGTTATATTTGGTTTGTTTCGTCGCTTTTCACCAATGTAAGTTTTTGTGGGTTTTTTTTAAAATTGCGTTTGCATTGCACGCGTTGTAATTCAATGTTTTTACTTGGGTCGCAGTGTTTGTATGTTCGTGGGTTTGTGGTCGAGTGTCAAAATATGTGTCGTGTGGTTTTGTTTTTAAGTATCAATATATATGTTTGGTTTTCTTTCAAGTATCAAAACATTAGTGATTTTGCTTTCAAGTATCAAAATATCTGTATGTTTATTTTTATGTATTAACATATCTCTCTGGTTTTGCTTTCAAGTATCAAAACATCTGTCTGGTTTTGCTTTTAAGTATTAAAATATCTGTCTGTTGTTTTGGTTTAAAGTATCAAAATAGCTGTCTGTTGTTTTAGTTTAAAATATCAAAATATCTGTCTGTAGTTTTGCTTTAAAGTATCAAAATATCTGTGGTTTTGATTTCAAATAGCCTATCAAAATATCTGTCTGGCTTTGCTTTTAAGTATCAGTATATCTAAATGTTTGTGATCAAAATGTACACAATATCGCGTGTGTTGTTGACAAATATATAACACAAGTAGAAGCTAATAATGGACAAATAATTTGTATGTGTTGTGATTTGATGAAATGTTAGAGACTTTACATCGATCGGAATTAAAGTATACGTTTTTTAGTCATCAAGGGTGTCGGTTCAAGAATAATCGGCAATGAAAGTATTAATGAAGTCCATATTGTTAAAGTATCGTCATGCTTCTATACATTTGCAATATCTAAGTAGGCCGTGTATAAAGTAGAAAATAAAACAAAAAAATTATCTGTATAATTAAAAGCTTCTAAAAAGTATGTACTGAAAAAAAGAAGAAAAAAAGATTTTCTTTATATAAATTTGTTAACGTTAAAAGCGTTTGTCCAAAATACATTAAAAGCATTTTACTATTATTCTTCAGGATTTTTATTTTTATTTTTAAAATATCTAATTTCACTGAAGCATGATATACAGTTTTCTAAATCTTGATTTTTTTTATATGTGCTGTTGTATTCGTAGACTGTCTTACGTTCACCGGTTAAATAAACAATTGAAAGTTTAAATGTGACACAGCACATGTATTGTTTGTATGGCTGTTGGAGTGGGGCGTTACCCTCAGTCTATTGTTACTCTACATGTCAGTTTCGCTAGGGCATATAGGCTAGGGCATATAGGCTAGGGCGTATAGGCTAGGGCATATAGGTTAGGGCATATAGGCTAGGGCGTATAGGCTAGGGCATATAGGCTAGAGCATATAGGCTTGGGCATATAGGCTAGGGCATATAGGCTAGGGCATATAGGCTAGGGCATATAGGCTAGGGCATATAGGCTAGGGCATATAGGCTAGGGCATATAGGTTAGGGCATATAGGCTAGGACATATAGGCTAGGCATATAGGCTAGGGCATATAGGCTAGGGCATATAGGCTAGGACATATAGGCTAGGCATATAGGCTAGGGCATATAGGCTAGGGAATATAGGCTTGCATATAGGCTAGGGCATATAGGCTAGGGCATATAGGCTAGGACATATAGGCTAGGGCATATAGGCTAGGGCATATAGGCTAGGGCATATAGGCTTGCATATAGGCTAGGGCATATAGGCTAGGGAATATAGGCTTGCATATAGGCTAGGACATATAGGCTAGGGCATATAGGCTTGCATATAGGCTAGGACATATAGGCTAGGCATATAGGCTAGGGCATATAGGCTAGGGAATATAGGCTAGGCATATAGGCTAGGGAATATAGGCTTGCATATAGGCTAAGGCATATAGGCTAGGACATATAGGCTAGGCATATAGGCTAGGGCATATAGGCTAGGGAATATAGGCTTGCATATAGGCTAGGGCATATAGGCTAGGGCATATAGGCTAGGCATATAGGCTAGGGCAGATAGGCTAGGGCATATAGGCTAGGCATATAGGCTAGGGCAGATAGGCTTGCATATAGGCTAGGCATATAGGCTAGAGCATATAGGCTATGGTATATAGGCTATGGCATATAGGCTAGGGAATAGGCTAGAGCATATAGGCTAGAGCATATAGGCTATGGTATATAGGCTATGGCATATAGGCTAGGGAATAGGCTAGAGCATATAGGCTAGGGCATATAGGCTAGAGCATATAGGCTAGGGCATATAGGCTAGGACATATAGGCTTGGGCATATAGGCTAGGGCATATAGGCTAGGGCATATAGGCTAGGGCATATAGGCTTGGGCATATAGGCTAGGGCATATAGGCTAGGGCATATAGGCTAGGGCATATAGACTAGGGCATATAGGCTAGGGCATATAGGCTAGGGCATATAGGCTTGGGCATATAGGCTTGGGCATATAGGCTTGGGCATATAGGCTAGGGCATATAGGCTAGGGCATATAGGCTAGGGCATATAGGCTTGGGCATATAGGCTAGGGCATATAGGCTAGGGCATATAGGCTAGGCATATAGGCCAGGGCATATAGGCTAGGGAATATAGGCTTGCATATAGGCTAGGGCATATAGGCTAGGGCATATAGGCTAGGGCATATAGGCTTGGGCATATAGGCTTGGGCATATAGGCTAGGGCATATAGGCTAGGGCATATAGGCTAGGGCATATAGGCTTGGGCATATAGGCTAGGGCATATAGGCTAGGGCATATAGGCTAGGGCATATAGGCTAGGCATATAGGCCAGGGCATATAGGCTAGGGAATATAGGCTTGCATATAGGCTAGGGCATATAGGCTAGGGCATATAGGCTTGGGCATATAGGTTAGGGCAGATAGGCTTGCATATAGGCTAGGCATATAGGCTAGAGCATATAGGCTATGGTATATAGGCTATGGCATATAGGCTAGGGAATAGGCTAGAGCATATAGGCTAGGGCATATAGGCTAGAGCATATAGGCTATGGCATATAGGCTATGGCATATAGGCTAGGGAATAGGCAAGAGCATATAGGCTAGGGCATATAGGCTATGGCATATAGGCTAGGGAATAGGCTAGAGCATATAGGCTAGGGCATATAGGCTAGAGCATATAGGCTATGGCATATAGGCTATGGCATATAGGCTAGGGAATAGGCTAGAGCATATAGGCTATGGCATATAGGCTATGGCATATAGGCTAGGGAATAGGCTAGAGCATATAGGCTAGGGCATATAGGCTATGGCATATAGGCTAGGGAATAGGCTAGAGCATATAGGCTAGGGCATATAGGCTAGAGCATATAGGCTAGGGCATATAGGCTAGAGCATATAGGCTAGGGCATATAGGCTATGGCATATAGGCTATGGCATATAGGCTAGGGCATATAGACTAGGGCATATAGGCTAGGGCATATAGGCTATGGCATATAGGCTATGGCATATAGGCTAGGACAGATTGCTTGGGGCAGATTTAGTGAGATTTCTTTCAGAAAAATAGTTTGGTACTATTAGTTGAATATCTGAAATCTTTCTTATAGCACCAATCTTGAGGAAATAAAACAATTATGACAGACTTTAACATGCTTCTAAGCCCCTAAAAAGTAATTTACTGCGTGGCCTAGCGGTAGAGCGCTAGGCTGCTAACCCGAAAGTCTCGAGCTCAAATCCAGGTTCATATCAGTAGAATGTCCATGAGGCCACCCAGCTCTGATGGGTACCTAATTCGCGTTAGGGGAAACAAAAGCGGTTGACATAGTGCCGACCACATTATCCCCCTGTATGCCGAGGTCGAAACAGATGAACTCTACTTCATCTGCCCTGTATGTCTTGGGAACAAGCGGGGAAAAAATGATGAAAAAAGAGCTAAAACATTTGCTAAAATGGCCTGTCTGATCTTTACAATGTAAACAATGTAAACACCTCATCCAACTACTAGCACTTAGTAATCTCCATTTAAATGTTAAATACGGCAATCTTTTAATTAATTTTAAAGACTCATTAACAAATTGGATTCAAGCGAGTCAGTCTTCTGCTATTTTCGTAGATGCACGGGTCGGGAAATTTTGAAAGAAATCGTTCAATTCGAAATCTCGTTAACACTGAGCTACAACACTTGGCCTAAATTGGAGGTCGCAAATTGAGCCAACACTTGTAACAAAACAGCCAACTAGAAGTTAAACGTTGGTGTATATGCATCACTCGCTATCCCCAAACCCGACACCCCCCCCCCCCCCAAATAAAATAACACACTACTGTAATGTGGTGGTGCTTGGCTTCAGAAAAGTGATGGTTAATTGTATGAGAACATTTAAAATGAGGAAGCAACGTAAGACCTAAACACACGCGACGTTCAAATAAATGAACTAGCTCACGTTCTATTAGATTAAACATGAGAGCTTTCTTTAAACTTTGTGGCCGGCGGGCTTGTACCGGTAAAATCCTGCCGGTAAAATCCTACAACGTGCCGGTAAAATCCTGCAACGTGCCGGTAAAATCCTACAACGTGCCGGTAAAATCCTGCAACGTGCCGGTAAAATCCTGCAACGTGCCGGTAAAATTCTGCAACGTGCCGGTAAAATCCTGCAACGTGCCGGTAAAATTCTGCAACGTGCCGGTAAAATTCTGCAACGTGCCGGTAAAATCCTGCAACGTGCCGGTAAAATTCTGCAACGTGCCGGTAAAATTCTGCAACGTGCCGGTAAAATCCTGCAACGTGCCGGTAAAATTCTGCAACGTGCCGGTAAAATCCTGCAACGTGCCGGTAAAATTCTGCAACGTGCCGGTAAAATCCTGCAACGTGCCGGTAAAATCCTGCAACGTGCCGGTAAAATCCTGCAACGTGCCGGTAAAATTCTGCAACGTGGCGGTAAAATCCTACAACAACAGCATTAGGCTTCTATGAAGTCGAGACTACGAATATCAAATCAGGGGCCTACTATCCTAATGTCGACGCCTCATTCATGAGTTGTGTATTACTGTGTTGACACACTACACACCATTTGATTATTATGACGTGCTAGGCCGTGTGTGACACATACATGATTGAGGAAACTTAAAATCCTGACGTTCTGTTGTCGTGGTTATTTACACTTCCTTTCTTTTTCACATACAGTAACACTCTATTTTTCACTTTCTCTCTCTTTGTTCCTCCCCCCCCTCTCTCCTATACCGACAGAGGCGTCACAAGGCGGGGGTCGCTGTCAGCACCATTTAGTGCGTGTCACCAGGATGAAAAATCGTAAAATTTACTGTCAGAAACAATGGTTTATCACCATTGAAGTAACAAAATAGAATGGGAAAAGATGGTGATAACAAACAAAGAATGCATAATTAGATTACTTCGGGCATATCCATGACTAATTAGTTTACATCAGGCCTATATTTAACTAATTAGTTTACATCAAGCCTATATTTAGCTAATTAGTTTACATCAAGCCTATATTTAACTAATTAGTTTACATCAGGCCTATATTTAACTAATTAGTTTACATCAAGCCTATATTTAACTAATTAGTTTACATCAAGCCTGCATTTAACTAATTAGTTTACATCAGCCAATTAACGACAGATTATATTTTATCCCCAGGCTTCTGCATGGGTCATCAACTGGTCAAAAGAGAGACAAACACTTCTGTAAGTTGTCATGTCATTACATTTGGGGGGGGGGGGGGGGAGGGAGGAGGGGGGGGGATAATGTTAATATGTCAATGAATTTAACTAAAACAATTTATACGGACACGTCTCAAGATCTTCAGGATTATCGAAAAGTTTCTTACAAGATCAATGATTGGACAGGTTTAACTCTGGGAGTTTTATAACATCAGGGGTATATTCAATGTCTGTTTTTAATGCAATGCATAAAAAAAAACAAATACAAGAAAAAGCTTTATACAATAAGCTTTTAAATGCACTGAAAATAAGAAAATAAAAAAAACGTTCTTTCTTTAATAAAAAAATTTGGTCGCTAAAATATGCAAGAGTTCTCATTCGAAAGCTGTTGATTAAAAAGTGTTTTTTTTTTATAAGCTTATAATCACATTTCAGTGGCTAACATAATGTCTAATTTGGACATAAAATTAGATATTCTTGTTTGTCATCGTAGACGGATATAAATGGAAAGTTGAAAAAAGTGGGTTGCAATTCCGTTTTCCACAAACACACATACAAAGAAACCGTCATTGTGAATTAAATAAAAGCTTATGGGAACCATATTAAAAAACATCTGATACGTACAATACTGTAAACCCTTTATTGTTTGGTACGTTTACAGCAGGATTGTTATGTATTGTTTCTCAGCAATTGTTTGCTTGCTCTAGATGTCATGTAAGGCATGGTTTACCGTACTACTATGTTGTCATTTAGATGTCACGCGCCATGACATGTCACCATAATGTTTTATCCCACAGATGACATGCGAATGCTCGCCCAAATTATCTTGCTCGGCAAAGTATCAGAAGGTCGAAGGTCACACGGCTTGCCTCACAAAATCAGCCATAGCTAACTCTACAGGTAGACCAGCTATAGTTATATTCAATATACATATATATATTATTTATATATATATATATATATATATATATATATATATATATATATATATATATATATATATATATATATATATATGAAAAGAAATAAATTATTCCAACAGGAAAGGTAAACGACTTACATTTAGATAACAGATGATATAAGTCAAGTGATTTGAATGCTAAGACAAATACTGGTTATAAATTCAAGTGAATATCTTCTAAACGCAACTGGCAAAAATAAAATAAAATTTAAAAAACCCAGTCACTATCAATCACCGCTGACAGTTTCCAGGTTTTAATTTACTCTAGTCTGGCATTGGGTCAACATTTGGTTGGTTGATAGACAGAAGACTAGACTCTGTAGACAGACACTGCTGGCAGACTTTGATGCAGACAGACTTGGGTAGTAGACGAATAGGCAGACATAATAGACAGCCAGACATAGCCGAGAGTCAGACATCGATGATAGCCGGGCACTTTACGATGACATACTAACCTCTAAAATAGACAAATCATTGCGCAAAGATCAATAATCAATCTTTTTTTTCCGGCTGCTTGATTTCGTCACAGACCGATCAACCCCAAGACTAATGCTTATATTGACACTAGTTAGTTCAGCTGAACCTCAAGTACCCTTTCGAACGGTCAACGCGGGCAGATGAAGTAGAGTTCAACTATTTCTGTGACCTCGGCATGTGAATGGATATAGTTTACAACCCTAAGCCCAGACGCCTTGGCTGTCCCTAACATAAAACAGGTACCCATCATAACCTGGTGGACTTATGCATGCCGGGGATGCGAACTCTAGACTTTCTGGTTAGAATTCATGCGCTCTTCTATCCGACCACGCCGCGCAGCTATGAATTGTTTTAACAAAAAAATTATTTGTTTTAATTAAAAATTAATTACAGCGTTAACTGCGGCTGAGAAAACGCAAATTGTCGACCTCCACAACACACTGAGGGGACAGGTGACTCCCGCTGCCACAGACATGCTAAAACTTGTAAGTTTGGCACAGCCTCACCCAGGGGCGGGTCAACCTTCGGGAGGAGGGGGTGGGTGGGGTGGGGCGGCTCAGTTCAATTGCTGATTTGATGTTGTTTGTTTTTTACTTTCTCGTACACAAGGTATAGAGAAAGTATTGTAATCGTGCAAAAAAAAAAAAATCGAGATTTTTACAAATCTCGACGTTGTACACATCACTGAGTCGGAAAAACATAGTTTTGCAATCTTGTCCGTATATCTGTGTGTGTATGTGTGTGAGTGTATGTGTGTGAGTGTATCTGTAAACACGGTTAATGAAATTTCATAAATAAGTATTATATCAAATTTGTAGATCCGTATCAACTTTTCAGCGATTTCTGATAAACGGAAGTGGAACTTTTTCTACTTTCAATTTTTTAAAAGCCTATAATTTGATTACTATTTGAGATAGATAAATGAAATTTCACATACAAGTAAAAAATCTAATTCTCTGCCTGCTATCAAATTTTGAGTAACTTCTGTTGATCGGAAGTAGTAACTTAGGGTATTTCCGATTTCTCAAAAAACGCATGAGAATTTGTAAAGTACTACTAATATTCCGCACTATTATACACATTTTATTTGGCGTTCACTTGGTGTGCACTTCTTTTTTCTACGAGATTTTATTCTATTTTAAAAAGTAATTAAAAATGGTGTAAAAATATTGTCTATTTCCCGAGTTGCCATCCCCAGTAGTGTTATATAAGAATATTCGAGAAAGTTTAGGGGAGATCACTCCCGGTTTATTTTTTTTAAATTCACGCTGAAACCTTTAATAGCAGGGAGGGAAAATCGAGAGGAATCAATCAATATCCAAGCTTCTGGCAGAGTTCAATCCATAACATCGTTGTTGTTGTTGTATATTGAATTGTAGTGTTGTGTTTGGTCATGAATGTTGAATATTGTGCTGCAGTTGGATGTTGAGGGATGATATTGATTGCTGAGTGCAACTGTTGAATTAACAGAACTGCTGTTGAAAGTTTGAATCGTGCTGTTGTATCTTGAATAATATTCTCAAATGACTGAATCATGTTGTTGAACCATGATGTTAAAAAGCGGTGTTGAATTTCGTGTTAAAGTCATGATGTTGAATATTAATTTCTCCTCCCCCTCCCTACCACACACTGTTCCCCCACGCTCACCCTACGCCGCTACAACCCTTACCCCCACTATAATCTCTACCTCCACCCTACCCCCACGATTTCCCCACCTTACCCCACCCTACACCGCTCCCTACCCCCACCCTACCTCATAACCTACAATTACCCTACCCTTTTCCCCCTCCCCCCTATAACCCCCACCTTTACCCCTATCCCTTACTCCACCCTACATCCCTCCCTACCCCCACCCTACTTCATACCCTACTCTCACCCTACCCCACCCCCACTATTCCCCTCTACCCCCTACCCCTTACCCCCCCTCCTATAACCCCCACCCCCAGACCTGGGACGATGAGCTGGCCATGCTAGCCCAGCACTGGTCTGACGCCTGCCGTAAGGACGCCTCGGGAAATTATTACCACGACTCTCTCAGGTACATCCCAGGTGAGTGACATCAGCCAAATGACATCTTTAAATGTCATTTCAGTTTAGTGACATCAGGCTATTCACGTTTTAAGTGCCATTCCAGTTTAGTGACTTCAGGCAAGTGACATCATTAAATGTCTTTTCAGATTAGTGACATCAGGCAATTGACATTTTAAATGCCATTCCAGTTTAGTGACGAAAGGGAAGTGATATTTTATATGTCGTTCCTGTTTATGACACCAGCCTATTGGCATTTTAAATGTCACTCCAGTTTAGTGGCATGAGGCAAGTGACATTTTAAATGTCACCTGACACTCTGTCAAAAAGAAGAAAACGTTTCAGATAACTAAGGTCTCAATTGTCATTTGCTGTTGTGTAACTGTGTAACACTCTGTATATATAGAAATGACTACTAAAAGTTCACAATTCAGGTATACAGTGACATTTACTGCGGTGAGATCTGTGATTTAACATGTCCTGATGTTTCATGTCAACTATGTTGTCATATGTTAAGTACGTGACATCTCATGGTGTATGTCATGTAGTGACATTTCACCTGTTATATCATGCTTGGAGAAACTGAAAAACAAAACAGGAACCCCTTTTCGAACTTGTTAGGCTAGTTTCGGTATTTAAAGATTCTACTTCCTGTCTGGGGCTATCAATGGTTTATATGAGTTGGTCAGTAGATATAATCTTGGTCAAAAACTGGTCATAACTTAGTCAAAACTTAGTCTAAGTTTTCGCCAAATCTTGGTCGACCGTCGGTCTAAACCAGGGGTCGGCAACCTTTTGAGACGGAAGAGCCGAAAGTTACAATCTACAAAATTTCCCAGACTTTAAATAGCCACTAACATTTGTATGTGCACTTCGCTAGTGGAAAGCATGGAACCATTTCCACGGGTCTGGCCACAACATAGTTAGGTGGCTGGGCCTAATGCCTAATGCCCTAGGCTGTCAACTGTCCATATACACTCTACTCCACCTATTCTCGTTGTTTTTTTTATTTTGTTTGAAGTATTTGTTTTTACAGTATAATTTTTTTTTAGTTTCTATAATAAACAATTATAGGCTAATTATTATAGAACTAGAGAGCCGCATATTAACATCAATATTGACATGCAACTCGCGAACGGCAGGTTACCGACCCCTGCGTGCGAGTAATTTGGTTAACACAAGAAATCTTGTAGATTTTTTTTTCTTTTTTTTTTTCTTTTTTTTTTAATTATAAAATACTATTTATTCATATAAAAACATACATATGTGTCGCACAAAACATAATGAAGTATTTTAGCTAGCTCGGATAGAATAATAAAATAAAATTATATAACTATAGCACTATCCCAACCCAAGTTAGAAGCTAATAACTAAAAAAAAATTCATAAAAAACGTTTTAATAACAAGCTTTTATGTAATGATGCACTAAAAAGTAGAAAATAAATTATAGACTACTATTTAAATAACTATAAAGAAAAGCGTGGGTCACTTTAGTATCTATTGGATACCTTTACTAATGTTAAGGAAGACACCCACGCTTTTCTTTATAGTTATTTAAATAGTAGTCTATAATTTATTTTCTACTTTTTAGTGCATCATTACATAAAAGCTTGTTATTAAAACGTTTTTTATGAATTTTTTTTTCAGTACTTTACATGTTTTATCTACAATAGAGTTACATGACTAAAAACCATTGCGCGCCTACTGAATATCACGTTCAGTAGGCGCGCAATGGTTTTTGAACGCAGCCATTACGTGGTCGTGATGGCGCAGCTATTGATGACGCGTGTGGTGTGGTTGGCTAGACATGCCTACTAATTCGGTCCAAATTTTAATTAATTCATAAAAAATCAATTAGGCATCCAATTAAGTCAAATTTAGTTTCAGATTGCATTGTCTTCATGTCTTGACCCACGTGCCAAATGTGAATCGTATCGGTCAAGTAGAACTGTCCGAATTTTCACTCCTGCGTTTCTATCTAGACTGACGACAGACAGAATGACGAGGAAGTGAGTTAAATAAAAGCTTGTAAAAACTATGTCACTCAAGTCAAATTAATGCACAATGACACTTACAAAAATGCTTTCTGAATTAAATAACTACTTTTTAAAATATTCGAAAATAATAAATAAAATATGCACTTCGGTAGTAGAAAGCATGGAACCACTGCCACGGGGCTGAACACATCACAGTTGTGAGAAAGTAGATCTATACATTTTTTGAGCAACGAACTTGGCATGCAGACACATTGATTAAATATAAGGAATTCATTTTATTAACGCGAAGTTATCTTACATAGTTATGAGTTTCGTAATTTAATTAAAAATATTTTTTCTATTAATATCAATACATTTTAAAGGCAGACAAAATGTGTACATAACATTTATTAATACTTACAGAAAAGTAAACAAAATCAACAAGGATTTACATGAGTTTTATATTTCAACTGGGGTATTGGTTTATTTATTAATTTGATAACATAGTTTAAAGTTGTTTCCCTTATTTGTTTGGAACTAAAATATTGGAAGTAACAAAAAGAAACCAATATAATACAGATCTATCAAGTTGCAACATTGCTGTGGTGTATAGAAGAATTAAGATTTATGTTTACGAGAAAAGAGCGAAGCATTGTAGGAAAGGTTAATTTATTTTACTATATTGAAGGTAGACCTACTTTCCTAAAATAAAGAAATTACATATTTGAAACTATGTGATTTTTCCAACTTGTTAAACAATAGTAAACTCGCGACATTTCTTTTAGAGCTGTCCAGTTGTACAGTGAAACATGCATGTTGTTCTGGGCCTCCAAATCGTCTAACTTGCTCTTGAGATGTGTGAGCTTACCGCTCCACAAATGTGTGGTTTTCAAATCTAGCAATTTAATTTGAAGCGAACCAGCATCAATTCCAAATCTCTTTTAATTTTGTGTTAAGAGAATCTACTTTGACTCTGAAGGTCAGAGTACTTGCATTTCTTTTTGAATTGCTCAAATATCTCAGTGAACCCATCCTTCATTTTGTTTATAGTAATGCTGAAGTGATTCATGTTAATAGTAGTGTTGGGTTGTTCATATTTTTTTTCAGATTTTTAAAAATAAAGTAATTTACCTCTCTCCGGGTCTTCAACAAAATGAAGTAAATTTTTTTTCGAAACTATCATCTTCTTCAAGCAAGGCATAGGCTGGGTTTTCCTTTCCGTGCAGTTTTTTATTTAGCTCGTTTAGAGTCTTTTGTGATCTTCCCCATGAAGTTGAATGTTGCAATTAGCAATAGACAAGTAAATAGGAAGTAAATTGAAATAGGGCGTAACTAAATATTCTAATAGGATAGCGAGTGTTTATTGTTTGTTTATTATTTTATCGTTCATTGCCGAGTATTGCAGAACAATATTTGTATGTGTTTTAAAAATAAAATAAAATAATTGTTAATATTTGTGCATGGAGCTGAAGAGCCGCATCACGACATCAAAAGAGCCGCATGCGGCTCGCGAGCCGCAGGTTGCCGACCCCTGGTCTAAACTATTTTAAACGTGGTGTCAAAACTGGTCAAAATGTAGTAAATATGGTCAAAACTCTGTCTAAACTCTGCCTAAACTCTGTCTAAGCTCTGTCAAAACTGGTCTAAACTCTGTCAAAACTCTGTCAAAACTGGAAAACTGGTCTAAACTCTGTCAAAACTTTGTCAAAACTGGTCTAAACTCTGTCAAAACTTTGTCAAAACTGGTTTAAACTCTGTCAAAACTTTGTCAAAACTGGTCTAAACTCTGTCAAAACTGGTCTAAACTCTGTCAAAACTTTGTCAAAACTGGTCTAAACTCTGTCAAAACTTTGTCAAAACTGGTCTAAACTCTGTCAAAACTTTGTCAAAACTGGTCTAAACTCTGTCAAAACTGGTCTAAACTCTGTCAAAACTCTGTCAAAACTGGTCTAAACTACATGTCAAAACTGGTCCGACCTACATGTCAAAGCTGGTCAAAACAGTCAAATCTTGGTCAAACGTCCGAAAACTGTTGAAAATGTGGTGTCGAAATTTCGTCGAAAATGGCCAAAACTTTGTCTAAGCGTGTACTAAGTCAAAACTTGGTCAAAACTTAGTCAAAACTTGGTCAAAACTTAGTCAAAACTTGGTCAAAACTTAGTCAAAACTTGGTCAAAACCTAGACACAACTTAGTCAAAACTTAGTCAAAACTTAGTCAAAACTTGGTCAAAACTTAGTCAAAACTTGGTCAAAACCTAGACAAAACTTGGTCAAAACTTAGTCAAAACTTGGTCAAAACCTAGACAAAACTTGGTCAAAACTTCTTGCCGTTATTTTTTCACAGGGAGTCTATCAGTAGGTCAAAACATGGCCTGGGGGCACGCAAGTTTTAGCGACGCCATCAATGATTGGAACAGCGAAAAATCGAATTACGTCTACGGGACAGAGTTATCAAGTTTTGACCCTAACAAACCCGTGGGTCATTACACCCAGGTAAGGAGTTTAACTGACCCAGGTAAGGAGTTTAACTGACCCCTAGCAAAATCGTGGGTCATTACATCAGGTAAGGAGTTTAACTGACCCCTAACAATATCGTGGGGCATTACACTCAGGTAAGGAGTTAAACTGACCCCTAACAATATCGTGGGTCATTACATCAGGTAAGGAGTTTAACTGACCCCTAACAAAATCGTAGGTCATTACATCAGGTAAAGAGTTTAACTGACCCCTAACAAAATCGTAGGTCATTACATCAGGTAAAGAGTTTAACTGACCCCTAACAAAATCGTAGGTCATTACATCAGGTAAGGAGTTTAACTGACCCCTAACAAAATCGTGGGTCATTACATCAGGTAAGGAGTTTAACTGACCTTTAACAAAATCGTGGGTCATTACACTCAGGTAAGGAGTTTAACTGACCCCTAGCAAAATCGTGGGTCATTACACCTAGGTAAGGAGTTTAACTGACCCCTAACATTACACCCAGGTAAGGAGTTTAACTGAGCCCTAACATTACACCTAGGTAAGGAGTTTAACTGACCCTTAACAAAATCGTGGGTCATTACATCAGGTAAGGAGTTTAACTGACCCCTAACAAAATCGTGGGTCATTACATCAGGTAAGGAGTTTAACTGACTCCTAACAAAATCGTCGGTCATTACATCAGGTAAGGAGTTTAACTGACCCCTAACAAAATCGTGGGTCATTACATCAGGTAAGGAGTTTAACTGACCCCTAACAAAACCGTGCCTAATTTGTCCACAACGGGATAATATATATATATTTTATATTTCTGTAGAATTATTTTTTAAAAATTATGGTTTAAAAGGAATTTTAATGATTGAAACACATAACAGGTCACACTACTGAAATTTGAACGCAGTCACTATAGAAACATTTTTTTCTTCTGTTTCTTTTTTTTTAATCTCAGACATGTAATTTACAGCGTCATTTTCTATTGCCATGTTCGCTTTAGTATTACAGTTTTCATCATCGGCTTGTGAGGACTGATACAGATTTACTATAGTAATACTTCTTTCTGACGTGTATTTTCATTCATTGGAGATGATTTACTTATACATAATAAAAACGTCTAATTACAAGTTTTTACAATTTTTTAAAAACCTGAAAATGTGTAATTAAATGGCGACTCGACGACAATCTGGAGTGAGTTGATGGGGTATGGGCTTACAAGTGGAGCTGAAATAATTATGGGATTAAAGAAACATAATGTTATAAATTATAACAAAAAAAAGACGAAATAGAAGGATATTTTTTTCCGGTGGGGTGGGTTGAAAGGGGTATGGGCTTATAACTAGAGCTGAAATAAATTTGGGAGTAAAGAAAAATAATATTATAAATATTATAAGCAGTCAGGCTGATATGTTGAGTACAATAAGACATCAAATAAAACATTCTTCCCTTTTAAACAGATATATATATATATATATATATATATATATATATATATATATATATATATATATATATATATATATATCAGTCCTCCCACATTTTTTTTGTTCCTTTGTTTTTATTTGTTTTTAATAAATTTATTTTAAACATTAAAAATAATATGGATAATTTATTTTTGTAGTTTTTATATAAGTTCGAAAATATGATGATACATTATATATAGCCTATAGTCATTACATGAAAGTAAAAAGTAGACTAATTTAAGGGATGCAACTCATTAATTATTATTTTTTAACTGTGTGAATCTTTTTATTTTTTAATTACCAGAAAAGATATGCTTGAGCAATAAAGTAATCAAACCCATACATGATCATTATGTTAAAAAATAATCTTTAAAGAACACAAAAAGCAGTAGCTAATTAAAAATGGAAATATTTGAATGCAAAACCAACAATTTTCATAACTGTTTTTTCATCTCCTTTTTTTTCAAATAAATTCATTTATAAAATGTTACTTTAGGACCGATACGTAAACTCTAGTGATAATCAAATTGAAGCTTTCTCTAGTCCATGAAAATAGCATACAAAACAGCTACTAGTTTTCTATTTAAAATCGAGTTAAATAATTATTCTAACGTAAAAAACATGTATAATTATCAAAGCGATTTATATAAAATTTTAATGTTTATTTTTGAAAAGTAATAAGCAAAGGTTATCTATGTTAATTACGCTACTATTGAATTTCAATGTATATTTTAGGTATCTGAAAACATGTTTTATGTTTATTTCCCTTTGTTATTGTGATTTAGTTAATGGGAAGTAAGTCTTTGATTTAGTTACTAATTTTAAAAACTTATATTTTCAAAATGACATGTTTACGAAAAAAAATGAAATAAGTATTGCATATCATATAAACATTAAATAGTATTTAAATTTGGCAAAAAAAATTTCTCAAAATTGAGTTTCATCGTCCCTCGGATTACATCACAAATTATTGACAAGGTAGTACCGTATATTAACAAAGTAATATTAAATCTTGACAAGGTAGTATCGTATATTAACAAAGTAATATTAAATCTTGACAAGGTAGTATCGTATATTGACAAAGTAATATTAAATCTTAACCAGTTAGTATCGAATATTGCCAAAGTAATATTAAATCTTGACAAGGTAGTATCGTATATTGACAAAGTAATATCAAATCTTAACCAGTTAGTGTCGAATATTAACAAAGTAATATTAAATTTTGACAGGGTAGTATTGAATATTGACAAAGTTAATATTAAATCTTGACAAGGTAGTATCGTATATTGACTAAATAATATCAACTCTTGACAAGGTAATATATCTTACATCTAACAATAAAATTTACATAAAACGTTTAATGAAAACATTGTGACTTCCGGTTTCTCTTTCAGCTAGTCTGGGCCAACACGAGCAGGATAGGTTGTGGCTTTACCCTGTGTGGATCAGACAAGTTTTACGTCTGCAACTACGCACCTGCGTAAGTTTTATGTCCGTAACTTTGGCCCTACCTACGTTTTATTTCTGCAACTTTGCACCTACGTAAGTTTTATGTCCGTAACTTTACACCTGTGTAGGTTTTATGTCTGTAACTTTGCACCTGCGTAGGTTTTATGTCTGTAACTTTGTACCTGCTTAAGTTTTATGTCCGTAACTTTACACCTGCGTAGGTTTTATGTCTGTAACTTTGCACCTGCGTAGGTTTTATGTCTGTAACTTTGCACCTGCGTAGGTTTTAATAAATTGTATGTCTGTAACTTTGCACCTGCGTAAGTTTTATGTCTGTAATTTTGCACCTGCGTAAGTTTTATGTCTGTAACTTTGCACCTGCGTAAGTTTTATGTCTGTAACTTTGCACCTGCGTAGGTTTTATGTCTGTAACTTTGCACCTGCGTAAGTTTTTTGTCTGTAACTTTGTACCTGCGTAAGTTTTATGTCCGTAACTTTGCACCTGCGTAGGTTTTATGTCTGTAACTTTGCACCTGCGTAAGTTTTATGTCTGTAACTTTGGCCCTACCTACGTTTTATTTTTGTAGCTTTGCACCTGCGCAAGTTTTATGTGTATACACCTGAGTAAATTTTATGTCTGTAATTATGCACCTGATAAATGTTACGTTTTCTATACGTAGCTATGCATCTGGGTAATTACCTCAGTATTTGAGTAAACATATGCAAAATAAAATCTATTGTTTACCTACATGGGTCACGTGAGCTGAGATAACCAATCACTAGAGGTGTTTGTTACCATGAATGAAAGCTAGTGTCATTCAGACCCGCCACACCCAACGCCAGATGTAAGCCAGATAATCCGCCTAATCCCTTAAGCTTAAAGCTAGACATTGTTTTGTGTCGGTTGCTGCGGCGGATTGAAGTTTTTTGTTAACGGGAACTTTTCTAATAAGTATTTCTGGGAGGGGAAAAACATTGTTCTAAACATGTATAAAAATAGATTTGTATTTCACACAAGGTGACGATGGTTCTTTAAATATAAAATGCAGCCACACCTGTCTTATTTATCAGCTATGTTAGGCACTACACCTTTCTTATGTACCTCTTGTCTTATGTAAAACCTTTGTAAAAACCTGTCTCATTTACTACTTGTCTTAAGCACCATCTGTCTAATGAACCACCTGTCCCAACAACCACCTGCCCAATGAATAATCTGTCCCATGAGCCACCTGTCCAATGAACCACCTGTCCCATGAACCACCTGTCCCATCAACCACCTGTCCCTTCAACCACCTGTCCCATGAACCACCAGCCCCATGAACCACCTGTCCCATCAACCACCTGTCTAATGAACCACCTGTCCCATCAACCACCTGTCCCATGAACCACCTGTCTAATGAACCACCTGTCCCATCAACCACCTGTCCCATCAACCACCTGTCCCATCAACCACCTGTCCCATCAACCACCTGTCCCATCAACCACCTGTCCAATCAACCACCTGACACCTGACACTGTCTACCTGTAGAGGGAACATCATGCCATTCGCCCAGCCGTACAGATCAGATGGCGCCAAATGTTCCAGGTGTCAGACCTGCTTTAACGGTGCTCTTTGTGGTGAGTCGTTATCTGTGTACTTGTTGCTGGAGGGGGGGGTCTTGTTGTTCCGGGGGGAGGGGGCTTGTTTTGGGGGGTCTTGTTTGTGTATTGTCTTGTTAGGAGGTCTTGTTGTCGTTGGGGGGGGGATCTTGTTATAGGAGTCTTGTTTTGCCGACAAAGTCATACTTTTTTAAAACCACTTTGTGTAATTGTACCTTTTTGAATTTCTATGATGTGATAAATGTAAAAAAAAATAATTTTGTTAACTTACCGAAAATACTAAAAACATCAAATGCATCAAATTTTTTTTCGACAAAAGTAGAGTCAGGGTTTTATAACTAAATTTATTTTAATAACATCGTACATGATTTAAAAGACAGTTGGAGAGACTAGCCCTGAACAGAGACGTCTGGAAAGCTCTTGTCAGCGGCCTATGTCCCAGTAGGGACGACAGGCAAATGTAACATAACGTAACATGATTTAAAAACATGAAATGGAATTTTTGACAACTTTCGATATTATACTCGTGGTTGTCCATTGTAGTATTCATCAGGTAAACGAACTTTTGACTTTTTTGGTGTTTTTTTTTTTTTAGACTGTGCAAATCTCGTGTGCGAGAACTGGTCTGCAATGGACGTCGCGACCTGCACATGCGCGTGCAAGGTTGCTGGGATACACGTGGGAGCAACATGCAAATGTAAGTCTCTAGCAGTGGCGTAGGCAGGGGGGGGGGGTTAGGGGGGAGGGTAATAGCCCCCCCCCCATAGACCCCTCGTTATATATATATATATATAAAGTATGAGGGGGGTGCAAATCGAAAGTTTGAGGGGGGGGTGCAAATCGAAAGTTTGAGGGGGGTGCAAATCAAAAGTCTGAGGGGGGTGCAAATCGAAAGCTTGTCCCCGGGTAAAATTGGAACCCCCCCCCCCCCCCTTGAGACGATCCTGGCTACGCCACTGATCTCTAGTGTCGAGTGTCTTGGTCAGACAGTACTTGTTACCGAACCCCAGTAGTTTCAGATGTGCATTCACCGAATTCTTCTTGATAGTTTTATCGTCCACATTGACAAAATCCGTTCGAGTATCATGTCGGGGGTGTGTCTTGACTTCCGTCGAACCCCTGAGACTGGCTCACCGAACCCTTGGGGTTCGATCGAGCCACTGGTTTTGAGACTGTGAATTGTGTTGACGGCAGCTCGTCTGTAACAGAAAACTGACAGTTTACTCGATAAGTAGGCGTATAGCTTACTTCGACGGTAAATGACGTTATTAGATTTTAGCCTTCAAACTCCACACCCACCATCATCACTGAAAGTTACATAGTTCAATAGAGGAGCTATACATTGCACCATACTTTGGTCATAACTTTAAAACAATGCATACAATATCATCTCCCATAACCCCCCCCCCCCCCCCCCCGCCTCTTCATTACACAACATGTCGACTATTATCACCATAAATGTGATGGATAATTTACTAAGATACAAGATCTGTACTGAAGAAATCCTATGATTTTCTTTTATAGACCACAACTTCTGAAAACGTGTTCCAATACATGTAATAGTCACGTCATTCTGTAATAGACCACAACTTCTGAAAACTTTTCCCAATACATGTAATAGTAAGGTCATTCTGTAATAGACCACAACTTCTGAATAGTTTTCCCAATACATGTAATAGTAACGTCATCCTAATATATAAATCCCCACGTTCGCACATCTCTCTCTCTCTCTCTCTCTCTTTCTCTGTCCGCAAAAAATTTTCGCCGGACATCACGTCAGAATCGGCAGCGATATATCGAGAACTTTTTACGGACTTTTGTTGAAAATAATATGTTAGATGTTTTAAATGTATAACCACAATTTTATTTAAAGAAGAAAAATAAAAATTTAAGGCGTATTCGAATGTAGAGAAACAGTATTATTTATGCAACCGGAAAAGCATTAATGGATGTGAAAAAGAACGCATAAAACTGTGACGTCACTATTGCTTATACATTAACTAATGACGTCATCTGCTGTGTTTTGAATAAAAAGAAATGAACTATTTCATTCAAATTTGATTTAGATCTAGAATCTACGTACACTATGAAATGTATACAATACCATTTTTTTCCGGCCTAAACTCATAAAATTTATTTTGTTTATTTGGATTCTAGATCTAGAGATTCTAGATCTAGACTAGATCTAAATCTACAAATCTACGCAATAACTAGATCTAGATTTCTAGATCGAGACGTAGACGCTAAGATCTAGATTTAGACTCTAACTTCTCTAAAATCAATTCCAAAAATAAATTTCTATATTAGGACTAAACTATTTCAAGACATAATTATTTTATACAAAGTCTTTGTTTGGAACTGGCTAATTTGGGATAAAAAAAATTAATTTGAAAGAATAGGCATATTCGCGTAAGTTAAGATTTTAAAATACGTCTTTTATTCTCCGTGTTGTCTAAGGTGCCTATATAGCGGAGATGATAGTGTACTTAAACTCACGCAGGTGGTGCGAGTTCGAGACGCACCAAGTCACCTTGGTTAATCTATTTTTTTATATTTTGCTCGGGCTAAACTTAAAAAAAAATTAATTAGTATTCTAGATCTAGATCTAGATCTAGATGATCTAGATCTACGGAGAAACTAGACTTACACAGATGTAGACCCTACCTAGATCTAGAATCTTTATCAAACAATACATTTCTATACTAAAGTATTTCAGGCCTTAATTACTTTATTGAAATCTTTGTTTATCTATGCCATTTGCTAATCTCTATAATATATAAGTTGTCGGGTGCACGATAGGGCACTTCCCGGCGCCGCAGGCGCTTCAAATTTGGCAGGATCTTGCCTTGCCTTGGGGCGACAGAACACGGGGGCCGGTTGGCCGAAAAGTCTACGATGATGGGGTCAAAACTGACCTCGACTGACCGGCGCCTTATATGAGCTATAAATCGAAAAAAAATGTCCACGGAGGAACCTCTTCATAACTCCTGAGGTCGTAGACCGACCCTCGGGCGAATTAATTAAGCATTCAAATTCTCAATGTTTTCGAAAGCCTAAGCAAAGCTGGGCAGCATGCCTAGTTCTGTAATAGACCACAACTTCTGAATAGTTTTCCCAATACATGTAATAGTAACGTCATTCTGTAATAGACCACAACTTCTGAATAGTTTTCCCAATACATGTAATAGTAACGTCATTCTGTAATAGACCACAACTTCTGAATAGTTTTCCCAATACATGTAATAGTAACGTCATTCTGTAATAGACCACAACTTCTGAATAGTTTTCCCAATACATGTAATAGTAAGGTCATTCTGTAATAGACCACAACTTCTGAAAACTTTTCCCAATTCATGTAATAATAACGTCATTCTGTAATAGACCACAACTTCTGAAAACTTTTCCCAATACATGTAATAATAACGTCATTCTGTAATAGACCACAACTTCTGAATAGTTTTCCCAATACATGTAATAGTAAGGTCATTCTGTAATAGACCACAACTTCTGAATAGTTTTCCCAATCCATGTAATAGTAACGTCATTCTGTAATAGACCACAACTTCTGAATAGTTTTCCCAATACATGTAATAGTATCGTCATTCTGTAATAGACCACAACTTCTGAAAACTTTTCCCAATCCATGTAATAGTAACGTCACGATTGTACTCTGTCAGTGAGCTGTCTAGCACCTGACCCCTACTACTGCGGAAACAACCCAGGCTTCACCAAGGACAAATGTTTGTCGTCATTTATATCGTCATCTTGTCCACATCTGTGTGGCATTTGTCCATGTAAGTATGTGTCATGGATCCACCTTCGTCCGTTTCTTTTGTTAACTCTACCGTCTTGTATCTAACCTGTGTCAATTTACTTGTCTACATTTCACCTGTTTGTATCTCATCTACCTGTATCTCACCTGTCTGTATCTCACCTGTCTGTATCTCACCTGTCTATATCTCACGTGTCTGTATCTCACCTGTCTGTATCTCACCTGTCTGTATCTCACCTGTCTGTATCTCACCTGTCTATATCTCACCTGTCTATATCTCACGTGTCTGTATCTCACCTGTCTGTATCTCACCTGTCTGTATCTCACCTGTCTGTATCTCACCTGTCTACATCTCACCTGTCTATATCTCACCTGTCTATATCTCACCTGTCTGTATCTCACCTGTCTGTATCTCACCTGTCTGTATCTCACATGTCTGTATCTCACCTGTCTATATCTCGGCTACAGGACATTACCCCCCTGGATATTTCCCCCCGGACATTTCCCCCCCCCCCCCGTATTTACCCCCCTGTCAATTACCCCCCACCCCGGGGAATTACCCCCCCCCCCTCTCAAGTTAAAATCCTAACTCTAACTAGAATTTTATACCTATATACTACTTTAATCCAAACCTTAAGAAAAAGACCAAAACCTAAGCATCCACCTTAGCCTAAAACTT